TTTGCGCTTAACTAGCTTTATTTCCGACAGTTCTACGACTTTTTTACGGTCGAAACATTTTCATAATTAGAATACTTTCATTTCATGAAAAGTTAATAATTTTAAAAATATTTTTTAAAAAATGATTACTTATATCGTGTAAAAAATAAATGGACGAAAAATATTTTTACCGCTAACGAAAATGATAATAAATTAATTAATTGAAAACATCGGATCACGAGCTTTCCGTAAGTATAAAAATCAAGTTAATAAGACATCAGATGGAAAAATTATGCCCAGTCAAAGTTTATTAAATTTGTGTAAAAATCACATAAATATAATTCTTCAAAATGAATTTCATATTGTTAGGTAAAAGAGATGGTACTGAGGTCCTGTTTGGTTCAGCATTTGAATGCTGCTTTGGAGCTTTACAAAATAGTTTGGCAAGCTTTGAGGATATGCAAAAGCTCTCCAAGGGCCTTTGGCTGAATGGAGGAGCCTTGGGGAAGTTGCATTTTCGGGATGCAACTTCACTGTTCATCGAGCGATTACTGTTCATCTTCTTCAAGCTTTGGGTCCAGCGATCGACGGCCGGCGACCGCCTCGTGAGGGGTAGCACAACCCCGGTGACCGCCGCCTGGGGTCGCCGGACCTCGGGCGTTGTTTAGGTTGTGCGACCCAAGCGACACTTGAGGTCGCGCGGCCTTAGGCCACCTCGCTTGAGGTCGCATGATCTTAGGCCACCTCGCCTAAGGTCAGGCGGCGGTGGCCGGCGATCAGATCTGGCCAACGGTGGTGATCGGTGGGTGAGCTCCATCGAGATTGCTTTTTTTTTTTTTAAATATCAGCAAAAGTCTTTTACAAAATATAATTTTTATCAAACGGTATTTAGGTCAAAGTTATTTTCAAATGTGATTTTAAAATACACATTATCAAACACTATTTGCATTTTAAAAAACCCTTTTAGTTCAAAGGCATTTGTATTTTGCCAAACGCGTTCTTCCAAAGCCGAACCAAACGGTCCTGAAGATGATATCTAATGATTGTACAAGTGGTGATAGTTCCTCATTCTATACACGTTTAGACTTCGTCTTGGAAACCCATGGCTTGACCCATCCTCAGCCTTCCTCACCCTCTTAGCGATGGGTGGAGATGGCCGCATTCTTCTCGGATTGCATCATGACTAATGAAAAATTCTCAACCGAATAAGAACTCTGAACGTATCAAAACCAAATTGTACCAAATTTAACCATCGCTTGTCACCTATTTCTATTTCTTTGTTGGTGTGGCCCGATGATAAGACTCCATGAAGAGGTCGGCCTCTTTTTTCTTCAACCACAGATTGCGCCATTCTTGCTTCAATTCCTCTTTGATCACGTGGTCCATTGACCCATTTTGATTTTAATTAACGGGCTCTTCATCTAAATCTAATTCATCAGTCGCTCTGCGGTTGTTTCGACGAAGCAGCACGAAATGAGGCGGGTGCTTCTCCTCCTCTGCCATCATTCTGCCCCAGAGGATTAGGGAAAGGTCATGCACCTTCTGATCACAGGTTCTTCCAGGTCAAAGTCTCCTATACGAATTTGTGCTTCATTTTGATCATTTTTTTCATAGCAGTTTTGGCTTCTTTTTACAGACAGAGGGAGGGCAGAAAAAAAAATGCGTTAGTGTGTCCAATTTGATAAATTGAAAACATCGAATCATAGGCTTTTCGTAGGTGCAAAAATTGAGTCAATGGACGTAAGGACGGAAAACTTATGTCTGGTCAAAGTTAATAGGTAAAAAAGATAATACATTTGTTTCATTGAAAATTTCATGATAAAAGAAAATATTTTCAAGGAAAATAGTTAATTTTTTTTATTTGGTGGTTAGATATAGTGAATTTCTTTTTTCTAAAAGGAAGTTTTCTTCCAATCTAAATTTGTTGTTTTTAGTTTATGAAAACGTTTTCCCCAAATTGATTACTTTTCCGTCGTTCAAATATGGAAAGTCAAAAAACAATTTCTCAATAAACAATTTTTCTTCAATCAAAGAACCCTTAATTTTTATTTCCTTTTGGATATTGTGCAACCCCTCTAGCCTCCATCCCCTTGTTTAGGGCCCTGTGCCACTCTTGTCGCCTCGCTTCGCTTGGTGGAGGCGACTTCCAAATCTAGACAGATGCCTCCAAATCTGGGCCACCATGAAGAGTGGAGACGATAAGAGGCGAAAGAAGGCGGTTCATAGTGTAGCCGACGAACTTGAGCTATGATGAGCGATACAATGGCTGGGATGACGATAGTTGAAGTGGCGGCTAACGTTAGATTGGGTGGTTAGGGTTATGATCTCTTAATGGGAATGGTTTTTTGGGTTTGGAAGAAAATAGAGAACCATAATAGAGTAACTCAAGAAGAAGAAATGGCGATTTTCATAAATCTAATATGTCAATCAATGTGAGGTGCATTTGGTATCCAAAGATTAAAAAAATCGCAATTTGTAATGTAGAGAATGGAAAGTGGCATGAGGCCAAAGTGGGATTAGTAATTTTTAATAAGTTGCAATATCACAACACAGGTGATACATTTAGATGCAGTTGATGGATGAACACGAATGACCCCAACCTTGGATGAACAAGGATGGCCAGCCAACCTTGGATGTTACCGTTAATTGATTAATCAATCACGCCAGCCATCAAATTTTTTTTTTCTTGCACTTATTTCATTTAATAAAATATTCTCTCTCATTCTTGAATTACCGCAGTTTTATATTTGTCATATCAAATTGTGAAATATGATCAATCTCAAAAAACTTTAATCTCTAGTCAAGTAATCATTCAACACAAATGAGTCTAATTAAAAAGAAAATTAATAGATAAATCCAATGATAAATATAGCAATGAAACATTTAAGAATTTGAATCTTAGCTTTATTTCTGATAGTTTTACGATTTTTTTTTACAGTGGATACTTTTATTTCGCAAAAAATGAATAATTTTAAAAATATTTTCCAGAAAAATAATCATTTGTATCGTGTACAAATATATAGTGTACAAATATATACGAAAATGATAAAAAATTAAATTATTATTAATAATACAAATATTTTTTATTGATGAATTATTTCAAACTATACAATTAATTATTTTTAAAAATCATTCACTCTCCGTAAAAGAGATGAAATAATTTATATACCGGATATGACTTGGATATCCACACAAAAATATAAAAATCCAAACAAATTAGTTTTAAAAAAAAGGGAAATAAAACCTTAACAAAATTAAAAAATATAAACATTTCAAACAAATTACTCAAACAAAAAGTAACTAGAAAACTTGCAGGACCCCGGCCGCCGCCGCCGCCGCTGCCGACGCCGCCGGCGGCCGCCACGAAAGCGCACTCCAGAGAAAAGAGCATCCAGATAATCAAATCTCCCGCCGCTTAAATCGCAGATACTCCCCAAATCAGAAATCGAGAAAAAGGGAATCGGGAAGAGGTTAAGGGGGAAGACGAGAGAGAACGGAGAGACGAAGGTGGAGAACGATCAGATAGAGCTAATACAAAGGTCGGACGCCATCATCCCGGCGAGTCAAACCAATAGGGAAACATCAAACATCATCACCTCATTCTCCACCCGAATCCGAGCGACGCAAGGCGTCGAAATCGATCGCGAAAGGATCGAAACGGCAAAGATCTGACGAGAAAACTACGAAGAGGAAAGAGCTCGGGAGAAGCCATGGACGAAGCTTGCGAAGGGGGGTGGGGGGATCCTTCGGCTTCGTCGGCCGGCTACTGAATCTGTGAATGCGCACGGGTGGGCGAGGAAACCCTAGTTTTTGGCTCCTATTTATAGAGGAAGGAGCTCGGGTCGTGGCTGGACATGACGGCGTCGCTTTGGCGAGTGGCGATCTGTGTCGCCGTCCTCGCGGAAAACCCTAATCACTTTGTAGAGGAAAAACCTCAGCTTATGGCTGAACATGACGACGACGACGTCGCTTTCACGAGTGTAATATGTGCTAGAGAAATAAAAAAGGGGAAAATGACGCGAACGGTCCCTGAACTTTTGCCTAATGTGCTATATGGCCCATAACATTTTAATTTGTTCAATATGGTACATGAACTTTTAGCCTATTGTTCAATTCAATGTGGTCCTTGGACTTTTGGTACCTGTTCAATGTAGTCCCTGAACTACATAAAAATGTTCAATGTTGTCCCTGATTTTGAATTAATGAAAGGAGAACAGACATTGAACATTTTTATATAGTTTGGGGACTACGTTGAATATGTGCAAAAAGTCCAAGGACCATATTGAACAAACTAAAAGTTCATGGATCACTTTGCACATTATGCTAAAATTCAGAGACCATTTGTGTCATTATCCCAAAATAAAACAAGCAGTCTCTGGACTTTAGCCCAACCTACAATATCGTTCATGTACTTTTAATTTGTTTATTATAATCCCCGAATTATTCAATTTAATCCCTAAATTATATTAAAATGTTCTTTCTATTTGGCTAATTCGAGGTAAGGGAATTTGTTGAAGTGACTTCTGATCCGTTAAGTTTGACCGCTCCAAAAAAAGTATGCACGTGGACTATTCAAATAAAATATTCATATTAAATTAGAATATAATAATACACGGCATTTTTTTTCCTGTCTCTAAAGTAAATGCATAAAAAGATATAAATGTTGACTTATATTTTTATAAATCTAATTCAGCATATGATAATCCAAGTCATCAAATATAAGTGGAATGACTACATTGAATATTTATCAATAGTTTAGGGATTATATTGAATAAATAAAAATTTTAGGGACGATATTACATATTAAGCTAAAATCCAGTTATGATTTATATCATTTACAGAGGAAAAAGCTCACCTTGTGGCTGCGGCTGATCGCAACGACGTCGCTTCAAGGAGTGAAATCTGTGATGCGGTCTCCGTCTAACGGTGTCGTTTCGAACTGGTCCGACGCGGTGGGCTCGACAGCGAGAATTCTCGATTCCGCCTCGATTCCGCCGCGGAATGTCGAAAATGCCCTCGTCGTTCTCGTTGAATTCCCGAGATTATCCTAATTCCACCGACGTCGAGCAGTAGCGGCGACAACCGCCATAGCCATTGGAGAAAACCTTCCCCCTCTCTCTCTCTTCGACCGAGAATGGTCCGTCAATCCATGAGGCGTTTTCTGCAGAACATGGGTGAGTTCTCTCTCTCTCTCTCTCTAGACGTAAATTCCGCAGTTTAGTCTTCGAATCATGAATTGGGTTTTTTTTGTTTTTTCATTTGAAAATGTCTAGATTTGCCGGGTTTTGATTGTTTTCAGCTTAGTACTGGAGCTGGGTGTTTACGAATTCTGTTCATCTGTGAATGATGCTCATATGGGGGATTGGTTCCTGCTCTTGTTGTTCTTGCCTAAACACGCAGGTCTGGCTAATGACGTGTTGAAGAGACAGGGGCACCGTACAAGGTTAGTGTCTGCCGTGCTTAGTAGACATCAGTCGCAAGTGTCGAAGACCGAGGAGCCCGAAGCCGGTGAGACGAAGAGAAACGGGGGTCGGGTTTCTCCGGGGTCTGAAGGGCAGAGGAAGATGGTACATGGTTCTGGGATGAGCAGGCATAGCTCTGATGATGAGGATTTGGGTGATGGTAAATGGAAGATTGAACTAGCTTGGCTCACGAAGGCTTTGGAACCGGCGCTGCAGATGTGCAGGTGGGCTTTGCCAACAGGTATTTTGATTGCAATCCGGGTTCCTCCACGGATGGAACAGGGTCAACCTTGTGAGAATGAGGAGGTTTTGACAGTTCTGGGGCCTTCTCTTATTGCAATTACGATTGCTGGTTCATTTGTTAGAGTTTAATGCCATGTTTGAGACTTGATAGCAAGCTTTGGATGATGTGTAATTCGTCTATTTCCCGTCACAGGAAAGGAGAAACTTCTTTGTTACATTTCTTTCTTGGGTAATTAAAGTGGTCATGGAATAGAGTGTTAAGATGCATGTTCTGTGTCACCTTTTCATTTGAGAGCAGGAGGTTTCTGGGAAGGGCTATATCGGTATCTATGCAATTCAGCCTCTACCATGTTGAGTCATTGACTTTGTAACTAAATTTCCAGGAAATGGAGGTCAAAGCAGAAGCGGGTCACCACCAACTGCTAGGTCTGTTTCAGAGATCATTGCAAGCATCCAACGGAGTAAAATGGGAGTCCAAGACTGGAGCCTAAGTGATCTTACTGTGGGCTTGTATCTTATTTATCTTCGTCAAGAATCTGCAAATCCTTTAGAGCATATAAATGGCATTTTGATATCTTCTGATGCAATAGTGAGTATTAACCCGACTTATCTGCATATTGATTAAATACATGTTTCGTTTGTCTTCTGACTGAAAATACAAATGAAGAGTTATGAGTTTTGTGTCCGCTGAACTTTGTCTTTCATTTTGTGGATCCACTTTTTCAGGTCCAAGATCTCATGTATCACACTGAATTGGCAAAAGGTTGTTATAAGGATAGTGCTGCCGGTCTTGCTAGAAACAGCATGCTTCGAGAAAGCAACGTGTTAAAATTTGTGAAAAACTCTAGCATCTTGAGGCCTGGTTACTACATAGGAATCGATCATCGCAAGAAACTTGTAATATTTGGAATTCGCGGAACACACTCCGTGTATGATCTGATCACTGATGTTGCCTCTTCAAGCCATGAAGAAGTCACATTTGAGGGCTACTCAACCCATTTTGGTACTACTGAAGCTGCACGTTGGTTTCTTGCTCATGAGATTGGAACTATCAAGCAGTGCTTAGATAAGCATGAGGTAATATTAAGCTTTTTTGTAACAGAAAAAATATGTATCTTTTAGAGTAATTTTCCATGTCAGAGGTTTCATGACAAGTTTGTTAAACAAAGTTTATTGTCAGGGGTTTAGGTTAAGGATAGTTGGTCATTCTCTTGGTGGTGCTATAGCTTCTTTACTTGCAATAATGCTGCGCAAGAAATCAAAAAAGGAGTTGGGCTTCAGTCCAGAACTTGTTTCTGCTGTTGGATATGCAACACCACCTTGTGTTTCCAGAGAGCTAGCTGAAAACTGCTCTGACTTTGTAACAACTGTCGTTATGCAGGTAAAAATACATTCTTTTTTGTGTTATCTTCTAATCTGGATAGCACAGCAGTTGGTTGATAGTAGTGTTGATTTGCTGCATATTTTGGCGATTGTCTGTGCAGCTCATCTTACTGTTCTTACTTGAGATTATATACAGGATGACATAATACCAAGATTAAGTGTCGCCTCATTGACAAGACTGAGAAATGAGATTCTCCAGACTGACTGGTGAGTGGAAGTCGCCTTGCAGAAGCTAATATGACGTTTTTGTTATCATATTTAATGCAAGAAACAAGTAGCTTCCACTTTTCAGAAAATATTTCTGTATGTTGAATGTTCATTAACTTCAATAGAACAGCTCCATGAAATCCTTAGCAGTAAGGAAACTCTCCAAAGAAATAGACTAACCACAAATCTACTCTCGTGTCCCTCATACCAACCAAAGGAAAAGGTTGGTTCCATCTGATTAACTGGCACCTAAGAAGTCACGTTTGTGACAAACTTATCTGCGAGTGGTTCAGTTGGTGCTTATTTGGAGATTGACAATGAGGATTCTCTTCTTCTTCTTTTGTTATTTTTATGATATGATGACCAGGTATGTGACAGGATTTGGTAAGTTGGTACTGAATCATCTTGATCTGCAATGATGCAATATAGTGTTGTCTGGAAAATGGAATCATCTTGACCGTCTTTTAAGATTGTATCTAATGTCCTCTTTCCATCGGGCATCGCAAAGTGATTTTCAAAGTTGTATCGCTTCTGCTTATGATATAATAGCAGTTCTGGCATTACTCTGCAGTTTATTAGTTCGAGTCCTTGTGTCCATAGACCAGAGTGTATAATGTGATTGGAGAGTTGTAGTAGCAGATAAACGCATCCAAATATCTGTTAGGGCATGTGATGGCGCAAAATCTTCAGTCAACAGCAGAATCACCAAAGTGCAAAGACCAGCCCATGTAGTTAATTAGCACTGACTATTAGCAGTGACCTATGTGAGTTTTCTAGATAGGTGCCATTATATGCCTAAACATTTTTCCCTTTGGTCGGCTAAATCTTGACATTTATATTTGGTCAATCCAAGATGTGTCAATTTTGGTCAATCAAGCCTTACGCTTGGAATTGATGGAATTGTGGTGTTGGTAAATCACACGTGGCTCATCTTACAACAAGCCACACTGTTTATAGGCATGAAAAGCTGATCAGTGGACTTAATTGTCTAAAATTGAAAATGTTTTGACTCATTTGATCAAAATGTAATGGTAAAGATTCAATTGACTAATGGGCGAAACGTTTGGGATTGTCCTTGTCATGTCCCTGAGTTTCCTCTTTGCTTCTTGGGATGTCACAGATAGGTTTCTGGCTTCATTCAGAACCACATAAGTTGCAATCAAGTGCTTGTCTTGTGTCAGGATAGACATTTAGAAGCTGTTGTCATGTGTCATAGGATAGACATCTTCATATTGCTTTAAAAGCCTTGATGAAGATGATGACGTTCTTCTCTCGCTTTGTTGCAATCTAGTATTGATTTCAACACCAAGAGACAGCTCTGCTGTTCTCCTTCTCCTTCTCCTTCTTTTTTTTTTCCTTTCTCTTTTGAAGTCATTGAAGTGCGTGCTTTCTGGAAAAATAACTGCTTAGTTGTAGTAGTGAATTTGTTGTTCAAATTGTCTCCAGTTGTTATGGGTTAAAGGAATAATTCTGCAGTATAAGTTCTTACAAAGGACACATAACTACAGAAAGAACATGCTATTTCCATTTATGGGAGAATAAGCGATGCAATCGAATCCTAAATCTTTCAATTGATTCAGTTAAGTCCTAAATCTTTTTCAAAAAGTGTATTCAAGTCCTTTCAATGAAATCTAACTAAAATTGCCCACGTGGCTCTTAGAAATTGCATATGTGATGTCCTTAAAATATTGCACTTTTGAATATAAGTTTGAGGATTTCATTTCTTCTTTGGATAAAGGGTTTAGGACGTTATTGAACCAATTGAAATTTGTGGGACTCGATTGCACTTTTGGGTATAGGTTTTGGATTTGATTGAATCAATTGAAATGTTTAGTACTCGACTGCCTTCCATACTTAAGGTTTAAGACTCGTGAGTCAATTTGACTTTCTATTTCTGTTATTCTCTTTTCCTCTTTATAGGAACCACTAGCTATAATTTGTATGACCCTTGTTTTTTCATTTTTTTGGAGAAGATGTTTGCAACTGTTTCTAGAACAAATGGAAACATTATAACCATTCCTTCCAATGAGGAATATGAATTTCCATTTCAAGTTTTTCTTTTGGTTGCAAACGAAACCTACAGAACATCGCAGAAGTATTTATGTGATATTCTGATGTTGTTGAATTTTGAACTTGATTTCTTCTGCAGGACTAGTATAATTGAAATGGCAGACTGGAAAAGTATCATTGAACTGGTTTCAAACGCAAAACAGGTTGTCTATTCGGTTCAAGATGTGGCAAGGAAACTTGCTGATTATGCTAAATTCAGTACTAACAAAGAATATTTGGGTGAGGCCTTTTTCAATATTGTGTTACTGTATTTTTAGCGAAAGTTGTGTGAATAACTGGGCCAGTGCTGCTATTTTCCTTCCGAGTGTGTGTATTGTTGTCTAAGCAAAAGGTGCCTGTACTTATCTCTTGCTGAATAGACGGCTTACACTAGTGGGAGTCTGTGTTATTGAGTCAGAACTTGCAATTGAATATCAACTTGATTTTTTTAATACTCCCTTCAGAGAACATATGTTATGGCCTTCTGTTGCTCGTCCATCAAAGGATCTGTGTCTAGGTTGTGGGCAAAGCGTATTCCCAACTGTCATTTCTGTCAACAGAGTATTGACTAGAATTTTCTTCTGGGAATGTGGTTCCTTTTTTTCCAGCTTTTATCCTGATCTCTCTAAATCTTTTTCTAGATTTTCAATTGGCACATAATTATTAATGTGCTTGCTCCTCTTACCAACGTTAACTGAGTCCCTTCATGCAACATTATGTGTGTGGATATTATTTACTTGATAGTCAATAGGTTCTGTCACTTCTGGTGATTGCTGAACGATCTGACAAAACCATTGTCTTGGCTCTTAATTCCCTATCCTTTTATGTGAAATCATCCACAAGAGGGCATGAGCTTGGTCTTCTGTGACTTGCATCCCCAGCTATATCCATATATTTGCTACTTAAGCTCACTCAGTTGTCTGTTGGCGTTATCTGGCAAACTTTATGCAACCCCCCAAACAAGACGGATGCCGTATGAATCAAATGCAACCTTATGTTAGACCATCACTAGGCCAATTAGTTGTTCCTCTTAAGGATTTGTCATGTTAAATGCATGTTTAACAAATGGAACTATTGATCATTGAACTGTTTTGACCTTCTAAGTGTCCTTCCAGCAGCAAATAGCTTTCTCATTTCTCTTGGATTTAACCATAATTTGACTTTGAAAACAGATTCATCCATCCGACAGGAATCAGCTATCGTTCCGAAAGTTCCCCCCATGTCCAAACCCACAGCAAAGGGTGATGCTGTTGTGGAGAAGGAACAAATAATGCCCGAGGAGTTATTCGTGCCAGGTACTGTGTATTACCTGAAGAGAAATACGGACTGTAACTCAAATAGTAATATTGAGTACTTCACTCTATGGAGACGGCATCCTGGGGATCATTTTCAGAGGATAGTGCTCTCCAGCAATTTAATTTTGGACCACAAATGTGACAGCCATTACTACGCATTAAGAGATGTACTCAAAGGTTTGCCAGCATCAACTAACGACGACGTCTTATTCCAATAAAAAAAGGCATTTATTGTAGAGTCTACCCCCGGCATCTGGTGAACAGAACAATGCATGCTGGGGAAGTTCCATCTTCTGTGAGGCTTATCAGCATGTATCACCCCCATCCTTGAGTCTCATATCATAAACGAAAGGAGATCCCATATCAGAATTGAGTTGATCTTAAATTTTTGTAATCATATGCATTTATTTTATCTGTCTGGGACAAAAGTGCTCGTGCTCCATAGCATGGCAGCGGGTTTGTGCTGGTGCGGATGAACGTGGTTGAAATCGGTCCTAAGCACGTTGCTCTCGCAAGACGGCAAACTTTGATGTGGGCCTCTTGCTTACCGGTGGACTGGTGAATGGTTTTTCTTCTTTGAATTACTCTTCAGAATGATCTCACCACTGGAAAATTGTCAATGTAGAATGCTTAGTGTATTTTATGGATAATGAGCATATTTTCATCTTATTTCACAGAGCGAGCATCTTGTACCTAGCCTGTCTCACTTACATCTTATGTTATTGCTGCTAACATTTGGGTTCCGGATGTGACCTATAATTTTGTCCGTCTGATGCGGAATCTGTATGTAAACATCAGCTGACATTATAGAGAATGTGCACACATATCCAGCAAGAGAAGATTGGTGACACAATAAATTTTCTTTGCTATCTGATCTCTTTGGTGGTCAGATCCATTCGATTTTAATTTGTTGTAATACCCATGTTATTGTACTGTCGATACTGTCACTGCTGGCCCTGGTTGCATAAAATCTCTTGTTTTCGCATACATTTATAGTGGAAGAATACATTAACACACTTGATGTTGAGACATATCGACCTGGATAATTTACTTCGAGTCTTCGGCATGAGTACTTTCGTGCGAATACTTTTGTCATGTACACCTCTAGAACATGGCCGTATTGGCAAGCAAACGTTTAAACCCTGTTATTAGGTTTCGAAGTACATGAGAAGATGAACCGAAAAATATTGACAGCTCCTGGTTACGCGTGTTAAAAAGCTGAATACATTTGAATCCGGGAAAGATAGGAGCGAATGAACATAGAAGGCTGCACAACTGAAGACGTTGCTCGCCAAATCAAGGGGTGAAGTTATGAAGAGATCCTTGAATTTTTGTCAATTGTTCAATATTTGCGTGGTTGGATTCATTTCAGCTTGACATTTAAATCAAGTACCACGACTTTCGTATGATATTTATTTTAGTGCTGAAACTTTTCAAACAATTACTTGAGTATCACTTTTGTAAAAATACGATCACTTTAGTATCATCGTCGATTTGTATAGCTGGAGAATTCGATGGTGCAAAATTTTAAAGTAAACCATCTGGCGTGGCTAGTTGACAAAGTGAAGTTAGCAATATTAGTGCTAAACGACGATGTTGACCCAAATTAACAATTTGGGGCAAATTGGAGCTAAATTCATTTCTCCTTCAAACCCTAATTTTGTTGTGTTCTTCAACAGAGGAATTGGAGCAAATTATTTTGCAATGGAGAGGAAACGGCTCACAATTGTGTAGAGCGAAACAAATGACACGAGTACCAGAGGATTTGACAGCTCCAAAGTTACCCTGGCTCTTCCTGCTACAATGGAGGCAAAACCTTTTGTTTCAATTCTAGCCTCCGAACAACGCCCCACATGCTCAACAATTTATTTAATGGCTTCTTTGGCCCTTCCTTCTATACGTAAGCCGTGTACTTGCATCCAAAAAGCACAAGAGTTAAATGCAATACAATGGTTGCTACACTCTCTCTCCTCGAATCCAAGGTGCACGAAGTGGTTGCACTTGAGTCAGACTATATTTAGCCTTCGTAATCTCGGTAAAGTGCTCAGATCATCACCCGTGGGAAGTAAGTGCTCTTATCATGGAGGCCCGTCAAGTGATGGGCCGGTCTAAGAACCTTTTGATAGCCCACTGCTCTCAAGGGAATCAAATAGAGTAGCTGATTGGCTTGCAAGACCCACGAATTAAATGGTCTGCCTTCTAATTGGGTCACCCATCCCCCCAACTCCTTTGGGATCTCTTTTGTCTGGACGCCCCTAGTGTGGGATTTGATGTTTAAAGTACTTTCAATTTCAATAAAATTATAGTTTGGCCCAAAAAAAAAATAAAACAAATGACATAGGCTAAGTCATGGATTTTTCTTAGAATAATCTAAAGTTGATTCCTCAAATTTTGCTGTGAACTTGCCTCCAACTTCTCTCTTGCAAAGCATCGTTGAGGTGGTTGTCGAGCAAATTGCAGTCATCGTCGAAATTCTGGGACGAGATCTACTTCACTAATGTGGTCGATGGTGTCCGTCATTTTCCTCTAGCAAGAGTAGCGGAGAGAAGCACCAATTCATTTTTCGAAATGAAATAGTTTCTTCCATTTTCTGGCGATTTCACATATTAAGATCTTGTTTCTTCAATTTTCTCCGGTACATAAGTTGTTGGCCATGGTGATAGAACTGATACATGTAGTTCAATATGAGATCCTCAAAGAACTTGGCGACCGAAGCCTTATTTTCCTGTTGTGTTCTTGACTGAGGTGTTCGCAAGTTTGGACATCATCTTTGCCGTGATCTTCGCAATCACACGAAGAGAGAAAGAAGCAAGGAAAGAGATGACACGTTGTCGTTCATAGTCTCATTCGCCACGCCGTTTCCTTCATTTTCTACTTTGGTCTTTAATTTCTCTTAAAAAAGTCATATCATATTCAAAATTTCATTTGAAAAGTCACGTAAAACAAATTACCGGAATATGATGCCGAAAGAACTTAAGTAATCGTTTTTCCACTGTTATAGCATTCAAGTAATCAATCAAAAATTTTGTCATTAAAGTGAGCGCCGTACAAAAATTATAGCACTTTTAGTGTCATTTTCCCAGTGAGAGAGAGTCATAAGAATTTTGAAGGAATTTACACACGATAAAACGCGCATGGTAATTATTAATAGGTTTTCAAAAATAAAAAGTTCCAATTAAAATTTTGTAGATTTTGTTCTTGAACTTTTCTACTTGAACCTAAATGAGTATTGGACAAGAGAGAAATATATTTTTAATGGCTATTGATTTTTGGTTATGTATAATTTTAAAACTTGTTTATTTGACAGGAACCTTTTCACTGCAATATTCAATTAATTTGACTTCATACATATTTGAATAATGTATTTCTTAAAAATGGAGAATTCTACCTTATCGACATTGGTTGCCATACATACGAAGGCGTGAATATGATATCCGTAAAAAACCATAATTTCTTGCAGAAAAATAAAAAAAAAAAACGGAGACAACCGAAAGAGAATTGACAATGCACATAAGGTATTATCTAAGAGAGTATAAATTTAATCTAGAAAACATGCACACGTCTACGCACAAAATCGGCATTTAAAAAATGAGGCCGACATCCTCATTAGAAATGTTTAATGGAAAGAAATCGTTGATAGGATACACAACTTATATAAAAATATGTAAAATGAGAAGATTCGAACTTTTTTTTGGAAAAGGTTGTTGTCGGATAGAAAAGAATCGAATTTTTAAATTGAACTGTTTCCGAGAGGAAATATTATATATATATATATATATATATATATATATATATATATATATATGTGTGTGTGTGTGTGTGTGTGTGTGTGTGTGTGTTTGTGTGTGTCTGTGTATCGTTGGGTTTGAGAAAGTTTGACTATTTCAAACTACGAAATAGAATACTAATTCATGAATTTGCCCATGGATATGATACCTATAAAGTAAGTAATAGAGAATATTTTGGTTTGAAAAAAAATTGAGATTCCTTAAACGTAAGAGGTCCTCTTTACTGTTTACAATAGCATAAATACCATATGGATGTTTACTTTGCTAAGATGTGACAAATGCAATTAAAGATAATCATTTAATTTGCATCTTTCAAATAAAATAATATTTTTGTCGTAACTTTCAACTCAATTCTATGAATATCGATATAAAAAATAATTATTCTAGCTATTACTATTTCAATCCCTTCAAAACTGAAAAGAACAGCATACATTGTGGTGAATTGGAACGGGCCTTTAATTGTATTCTGGTTGAGAATCTTAAAACTGTTGTTGGAAACTCTACAAAGAACCACCTACAGCTAAACTCACTTTGAGAATATCTAGCATAACATTTAAATCTATTCATAAATATTCTCCATCATTCCATTATTTACTTTTGACTTATGCTAATGAACCAGAACACTTTTAAGAAGCAATGCAGGCCAAAGATTCTGTTAAGTGGGAGGTGGCAATGCAGGATGATACTGGATTCACTCAAGAAGAACAAAACTTGGGTGTTAATTAAGTTGCCAGATGGGAAAAAGGCATTGCAGAACAAGTGGGTGTATAGGGTCAAAGAAGAACCCGAAGGCAGCAAGAGATATAAAACAAGGTTAAAAGTGAAAAGCTGTTAACAAACGAAAAGGAATTGACTACAAAATTTTTTCTCTTACATGAAGGGGATAACGACACAAACAGTCTCTGGACTTTAGCCAAATGTATAATGTGGTCCTTGAACTTTAGTATAATGTTTAATGTGATCCATGAACTTTTAATTTGTTCAATGTGGTCCATGGGCTTTCGGTACATGTTCAATTTAGTCCATGAACTATATAAAAATGTTCAATATAGTCCATGAACTTAAATTAATAGAAGGACTATATTAAATATTTTCATATGGTTTAGGGATTAAATTAAACACGTACCAAAAGTTCATGGACTAGATTGAACAAATTAAAAGTTCAGGGATCAAATTGCACATTGGGCCAAAGTTTAATGATTATTTGTCTCATTTTCCCTACATGAAGGGCAATTAGATGTAAAAACTACATTCGTCCATGGTGACTTAGAAGATGATATTTTCAAGGTATTATCAGAAGGTTTTCGAGTTCATGGCAAGAAAAACCACATTTGCAAGTTGAAGGAAAATCTATATGATTCAAAACATGCTTTTAAACAGTGGTATAAGAAATTTGACACCTTTATGAGTGGTGATGGGTACACTAGATGTAAAATAAATCACTGGTGTTACTTTAAGAAATTTGAAGACTACTATATTATTTCGTTGTTGTATGTGGATGATATGGTCATCACTAGGGGTGTAAACGGTTCGATTCGGTTCGGTTTTTCAAGAAAACCGAACCGAACCGAACCGTTAAGGGTGCCTCCTTGAACCGAACCAAATAGGAACCGAACCGAATTGGAACCGAACCGATAAACCGATTTGGTTCGGTTTGGTTCGGTTTGGTTTCGGTTTGGTTTTCGGTTTCTTCTTCTTTTATCTTTTTTCACACTTCTTCCCTTCCCCCTCCTCGTCTTCTTCTTCCGCTCTCTCTTCCCTTCTCTGCGAGACTGCTTCTTCTTTCTTCTTCCCGTCAAGAAGCAGGTCAATTGATGACCCACCACCGAAAGGCCCCACCAGATCACCGGAGTCGGCCATGGACACTCGCCGAAGACCGAACTTCC